TGCTAACAGGCAGAGGGCATTTCTGAAGCTAGTGAATCTACTTCATGTACGGTGATTCTCTTAGAGCAATGGTGACCGTGCACACGGGAACCCTTCAACGCCCCTCCCAATTCCCTCTCCCTCATGACAAATGGCGCCCACTGAAACTCAGGGCGCTCTAGGAGCACAATCCGCTTCATCCCAAAATGTCGCATTTGCGCTCAGCTTGTAGGGCTCTGTTTATGGAAGTTTCAGGAAATTCCTTGGGAAAAGTGTGATGAACTCACTTCGTCGTCAGTATTGACGCCGACTTTTGACTTTGCGAGAACGTACGGTATTCTCCTTTGCTCCAGTGTCTGTAAAAGGACTCACAATCTTATCACCAACAAAACGGAAGAAAGTGGACTCAAACATTGGAATACCTTCTGAAAAGCTTGTCCAACGTAACCGTTCCCACCGTAGAGAGCTACGTGCATCTTCACACTCTCCTTTTGTTGCAAAGCCGATGCCACCGTTCTTCTCATGCCTGAAAAATTTAACGCTTCTCAGAGGGGATGTGCAACTGAAGAGTGCAGTGTTTTATTATGGCGCTTCAGTTCTTTGGACGCGCAAAGGAGTTTTCGCCAGCAGAACAAAGACTCTGCCTAAGGTATATCAAGAAACTAAGATGCAGACGTCTGCGGAAGTATAGTGCAGGGTACAGCACAGGTGCAAAAGCTAGCAAATTGCATTTGGTCGTTCATGAAGGGGGGGGGGCGGTGTTTGGTCTCGAGGGAAACGTTTCCGATTGACAACAATTTGTGAAAGTTGACCGGACCGGAGGTGCTCTCATTCCATCATCTCTCCCACTGGATGGCGAAATTATGGAAAGATTTAATAAGATGGTAGGAAGCTGTGGGAGGGTGGAAGGCGTCATACCAACGCAGTAAATGGGGTGGGGGTTCGTATCTTGCGACGCTGGCCGCTTTCACTCATTTGATGCTGGCATCCCTTTCTTTAATCGATTCTCTTGGTCTCCTGAAGTGTTTTTTAGAAATTAAGCTTCGATCACTCCGCCAAAAGTCAACACACTATTTAGCTCAAAACTCACGAACCTTCTTCGAAGCTGATCTGTGGTGTCCAGTCGAGATCCTTTTCCGCTTTTGAGATGTCGATAAGGTACCGCATGTCATTGTATGGCCTGTCAGGGATTGATATAAATCGTGGTGGAAGCAGTTCGCGACCGAGTTGTCGATCTACCTCAGCTTGAATTACGTGAGCAAGATCGTTCACTGAAAGGTTTCAGCGTCGTGAGATCGTCTGCCAGCAAGCAAGCTAATCATCAAAAATTTGACTTTTTTCACATATTGAAAACAGAGGGTACTACTGGACACCCCGCACTTCGGTAATCTTTGCCGACAGTGCGCCTATGATTTCCATATGATCTCTGCCTTGATTTCGTTCAGTCTCGATAACTCTTTACAGAGTCCACCAAACTACCATCGGAACTCTGAATGGAGATTTGCGGTAGAGTCTATTAAGTGTATTATGGCAATTATACGATACGCAAAATGCAACTGCACTTCAACAAGCAACTTAATGAGGCAGCTGAAAATTTTTGTAAATTGGTGGCAATAGGGTGGAGGCTTGGAGTGAGGCTGTGAAGGGCGAGAAGCTGCAATACGTCGTCGAAATTTAAGCCACTGAATCGATCTATCGATCGTCGAACCTTACCACTGAACCACCACGACTCGATTCGACGTATGCGATTCCTCGCTTATGCTTCACAGCTCACCACCAAGCCTCCACCCATTACAAACTTTACCTGCTCATAAGTTGCTTGTGAAATGCAGGTTGCAGTTTTGCTATCTATATTTGTAAATAACCTTATAGACTCTATCGATCTACCCAGGTCTCCATTCAAAGTTCCATGGTAAGTTGGCGGACTTCCCTGGTTAGACCATGTCCCTCCTAGTTTGATACTTTCTTTCAAACGCCTATTCTTCCATTATTCGGCGTGGACTACAGGCTTTATGCTCCTCATACTACTCCAGGAAAAGTTGTCGTTTTAAAGAGAAGAAGCTAGTCTTGACTCACCATTCTTCTCGAAATACGTGCCTAGATTGTAGATCTCTCCTAGTTTTCCTCTTTCGCAAACCCTTTGGATGCCTTTGCTTGCGTCGTCAACATACAGCCATGATCTAAAAGTATCAATATCCGGGTCAAAACCAATCTTCACTGGGTTTGAGGAGAAGGCCAGTTTCCACCGAAGTTCGCCAGCTCTTCTCACAGAAACGTCGGGAAGTGGGGCAATGGCAATTGACTGTTCCTGTTTGCTCATCGTCCAGCTCTCAAGTCTTGGTTGGTCCCCTCTCCCAGGGCAGATATGCTATTTGCTACTCCGAAATCGGTTTCGAAACTCGTCCGGAAGAATCAAAACACTGGCTCGAACATCATAGCTCTACGAGGCTTTCTGAAGCCCAGGTCGCACTCGAAATGCTATAACGAAACGGACTGAAGGTATAAATGCATGGAGGGAGGGCGTTGGACCCGGTTTTGTTTCACGAGGGCTTCTGTTTCCGCACAGCGTTGGATCGAGGTTGCGCTGATGCACATGGGTTGAATATTGGTCATTCCTCAATACCTTAATTGTTTTCCAGATCCTTGAACCGTATACTCGCCTCGAACCTTGGCAATTTCGATGAACCTTGGTACAACCTAAACAGAAACAATGTGCGATTACATTGACACTTTTTCTGAGTTTCATAAGTCGCTTACCTTAACATCCCACTGATTTGGCCCGTAAATATTGTTCATTCGCGCGATAATGATCTCCAGTACGCTTCACACCGCGATCGAAACAGTATCTCAAATTAAAAAATCTTGGTTCTGCTTGCACATCTACACCAGGTAGGTCTCAGTTTTATTTTAATTTACGAGCTCTACTTGCTAATAGAACTCATTTCAGAAGTTGACGTGTGTAATGCTGGCAAACGCTCTTATTTTTAATCTGCCCATGAAATATTGGAGAAACGTTCACCTTCGTTGCTGCGTATGGGTTCCCTGGCAGTAATCGACTTTCTTCAACTTTTCCTGCTTCATCTTCTCCTAAGCCCGAATCTCCGTAGACCTGAACAATCCAGTAGAAGTGACACACTGGATTGAGTATTTATCACCTATGTTTTTCTGTATTGTAATTTCTCAATGTTAAACTTGCACGAATGTTTCCTTAATTTTACCTAGAAGTGGTTCTATTTTCGTGATGCGCCAGTTTCTAGGAATCTAATAGACGCAACTTGGTCCAGCGCAATGGAATTCGCAAGGCGTGAACCGGAACCTAATCAATGGTTCTTCTCCTTTCGGGATCATGGTGATAAATGGCATCCACTTCGGCACTTCCAAAAGGGAGGATGTCTTTGTTTGTTGGGACGGACAGATGAAACAAAAGACGTTGAACTTTGGTCAAGCTGAGTAGGACTAACAGCACACATTTGTAACATGCACCTCTCGTTCAAACACAGTTTATTAGCGTGGCTCAAGAGATACAGACGATAATTTAACAGAAGTAGCAAGTAGAGACTTCTTGCTAATAACCACAGTATTAAATTGTAAATACAAAAATGAATATTGAGGCCGAGATGGTTTAGCGTCAAGTGCAAGAAGTCAGGAGCTACGGGAAGTCTTTATTTGAGAAAATAATAGACGCTATCTCAGAGATCTGTTCGTCTTCGATTTTACTAATGCCGATGATTTTCGCGGGAATTACTATCGATCTTCTACTATTGTTCACTTGAAACGAGGCAGCAGTGGTATAATGGGAGAAAGCCCGCTTACCAAGCAAGCGGTTCGGTCAAATGCGGGAGACGGCTTTACGCCAGCAATACGAGGCCTTTCGCTACACCCCCCCCCGGGTCAGTTGAATTAGGACAAGGTTCGTTTGTGGTGTAAAAACACTCCAAACGTAACGTAATTAGCGGCCCTCAAAGTCTGTATATAGCCATTCATAAGCAGCTACGTTGTCAAAGTTGTGATAGAATGCACACAGCGAATAGCCTCAAAAGATTAATCAGCAGCAAAGACATTATTCCTTACAAGAATGGTTCAAGTCTGTCATTTCTCGCTCCTTAATTTACTTGTGTGGTACCAAGAACCAAGCGACGACTCGTCAGTACTAATGTGGACAAATCTCTTTGATGTTCCCGTACTCCTTAACCACTTCGAGGAACTCAATAAAAGCGATGACGTTGTTCTCGATCGCTTCAATGGTCTCATTATAGCAACGGGTGGAAGTGCAGTCAGCGGCGAAATGAATCACTGTATCGATCTGTAAGCATGTTTCTGTCAACGAAGTTTTTTTTCATTTTTTTTCTCTTAAAATGGTCTACTCGTTAATTTGAAGTTTTTTTCATTTTTTCTCCTAAAGTGGTCTACTCGTTAATTTCTTATTAACGGCAGTAAATCGATAAGTGCATTACTACGAAATAGGAATTTAACCGACTGGAATTTTATCTGATACCAATGCGAAACTCCTACCTATCCAAACTCATGAACCGTGCAACCAATAAAATCCCAAAATTATCATCCATTAGAATCTTTTACTTACCTGATTCTCTTCCAATATCGATTTCATAGCCTTCCTGTTCTTGATATCTGCCAAGGCTAATTTGTAGCGCGGAGAGTTGCGCACCTAAATAAACTGAATACGAAAGTGTCTAGCAAAACATAAGGCTGCATGCAATCAATGCTTTGTTGTCTTTTCTTTCATTTCTCTTTAGGTATTTTCTTCTTTTTTATTCCTTTCACTGAATTTCCCTATTTTTTTCTTGGGGTGTGCGTATTTTCAGAAGTCTTGGGAACAGTCTATGGCTCTAGTAAAAGGGCGAAGTGATTGCCATCTGCCATACTGTTTGAGATGGCCCACGTATTTGGGCAAAATCTGAGCTGCAAAGGCATCTGAATACTTGCATAAATGCGTGCACAGTCACTTACAGTGGAAGCCAGCCACTTCAAGTCAGTCTGACACCGGGGAAGGCTGGAAGGTTCAATCAGGGAAGTTGTTGAGGATGGGGAGCAAGTTTTTCAAATCGATTGTTAGCAAATAAGATTACTTCTGGCAAGCTGCGAGCTCATGGTCCACGAGGCCCGTGTGTTGTCCACGTGTACAGTCCTGCTAAGAAAGGCGTGTGAAGGGTTGGAGAGCAGGCAAGGCAGCTTTCTCCTCCAATTGTTGCAAGCTCGGGATGGTACCAATCGGTAGAAAAAGCCGCACTAGTTGCGGCTCATAGAAGCTCCCCTCACACACCTTCTCATTTGCGGGAATAACGGCTGTATGTTTTCGAGTGAAGGAGGGGGGTGAAACTCCAAGAGAAGAAGCGGAAATGTAATCTTTAGCGTTGTCACTAAAGTTCTTGCCATTCGTTTTTCAGAGCTGGTAAAGATATCTCACCAAGTTGAACTTACCGGTCCATGATATAATCTCCATGCATACCCACTACCTTTCGCCAACGATCGGGTAGAGAGGCAACTCCATCCTCCCAAAAGCTGGCCGGCCGCGACTGGGCCCAGTCCTCGATCACTGTCCTTGGAGTCGGCCGTTCTTCAGCTGTTTTCCGTCCAGGAAGTTTCGTATGACCGGAAGATGTGGTAATCGCATAGACTGATGTCCGGGCTATATGGTGGATGCGTGAACGTCTTGATGCCCAGCCTGTCCAGGACGGCCTGAGTATCTCTCGCTTTGTGGGGGCGTGCGTTGTCTCAGAGCAACACGGATTGCAAGTTTCTGGGATAAGGCGGCAGCTTTCACCTTGACCTCCTGCA